AGTTTTGTCATAAAATTTTGTAAATAATGTAATTTTAGTGTTTGTTATGGTACGAAATACATCAAAGAACTAAATTTTATGCTTTGATCCTATTTTTTAAAAATTAATGTTAATAATGGATACTAGATTGCACCAAAAACATTTCTATTCTTGATTTGTCAAAACAGACCACATCCGAAAAAAACTTACTCCCCAAAAATAATTTTCAGTCAGTTTCTTTCATATATTGATTAAAAAAATATCATCTCAAAAGTTTTAACTATTTAAAGAGCCAAGCAAGATACCAAAACTTTTCTTACAAAACCTTACATTCCTCAGATAGAAAAAACTACGCTTCAAAAAACTATCCTCTTGATGCAAGTGAACAGCTGTCAGAAACACAAAAGCCCCAGACTGTAGAGCACCAATCAACATTAGTCTAAACTTGTCTGCATTGTATTATAAGCAACGTAGAAGGGTTTGATTTCAAAAGGAACGTGTCGTTCATCTTGTCACAAGGATAAGATGAAGAAAGACTGAGTTGTAAGAAGGAGTTAAGTCCAATAACTTTTTTCTTTTAATTTGTATAGTCAATATTTTTTTCTGTGTAAATGCTTGCACTGCTGGTCAAGTCAACTGATTATTAAAACTCATTCAGCCAATTACGCTAATACTTTTCTTTCTTGCTGATCACGCGAGAGTGAACTAAATACATTTATTCCCCTCCGTCGCGTGAAATTGTCCATCCTAATCTAATCTTCTCAAAAGGATTATTGTTGCGTAACTTATCCGTTTCCCTTCGAAGCTTTCTCGCGTGTTTCTGGTTCTCGATGGTACACACGCGCATATATAGAGGGAAACTTTCGATCAGGCGGCATCTACACCCTGCAGGGTGTAATTTCGAAATTTAGATGGAGTCTTTGCTATGAACTTGATGATCGGGCTAACTCTTTAGCACACGTGCTTTTGAAGGGCTCGTGTGTGTTATTTTCCGTCCTTTGTCTTCGTGCATGAGCCATGTCCATATTTGCAGAAATGCACTTTCCATATTTGTCGATGGCTCCCATAACGAGAATTCGTGTCGTAAGAGGTTCAGTTGTGGTCAAGGACGGCCACAGTTGCATAAGCTTACTTAATGTATGTACATGTAACTAAACCGAGCGGGCTTTCAAAATAATTTTTAACTTTTCAAGACGCTACGTTGAATCATGTACCGAACAGCTTTTCGCGCGGGAAAGCGTCTGTACTCGAGCGGTTTACGGAAGGCAATCGACAGTGATTTTCCTGCTAAGTCTACAGATAGGGCGATCAAAGCTTCGCTGATGCTGGTGCGATGTTCGTCAAGTTCAAGTCAGAAATTCAGTCTAAGTCAAATCGCTCCATCGTCAGATGCATTTTGTCGTCGACATATCGGACCTGATGCCGAGGAGGAAAAAGAGATGCTTCGAACACTCAACTTACAGGTAGATATACCACAAACGCAGTTTCGCGCCGGATGCATTATTCTCTTTAGCGTGGAGCATATCTTCTTTGATAGTCATTACAATTACTAGGCTTAAATGTTAAACTCGTGAAAATATTTTTCAGCACATAGATGATCTGATCGACAAAACTTTGCCATCCACAATCAAGTATACCAGGACCCTTGAAATCGACGAAGCTCTAAGTAAGTCTTACGACCACATGCAGTGTTCAGCGTGAAATATTACCATGTTGGTTTGCTTTTGCGCTTAAATTATTAAAATCGTGAACTGTTTTTGTTAAGATTCCCTTACATTCTTATCTAAACTACAGCACTTCATATCTTCGCATAAAAGATATCTTAAGAACACTATTTTTAGTGCGATTGTTATGAAATATTCGGCGCGGTGCCCTTCCGGTTTGAAAGGAACTGAACTCAAATTTACGAAAAAGTAAAATTCCGGGCACGGTCGCGAAAATCTTGACTCTTGTTTTAATAAAACTACTAGATAAATCGACGAAGACGATCACTATGGTGTTATTTCCGCAAGCGACGTAGTCGACCCTTCCTTGCCAGAGGTGGTCAAATTAAAATTTTTAAGCAGTTTGAATAAAATTAAGATTGTTTTGTTGGTTACGTCACGTCGATATCAAGAAATGCGATTTTTTTATGGTGCATTCTGTCTGTAGCTCAAAATTCTTTGACGCAGAAAGAAATGTTTTGCTGAAATGTTTTTGCTGCTAACATGTTTTAGTTACATCTAAGCCCAACTAGTTCTCAAGGAACCGACTGATAGAAATTAATGATGCGTAGCGAAGGAACAAGTTAAGACCCGTGCAAAAAAGGGTTCACTGCCTTGAGGGCTGCGACATGCCATTAAGCAAATCTTTTGTTGAAAGCTTCGAAATGAATTTGGAATTTGAAGTTTTCAATTCAACACGCAAGTTATGAATTGAGGCATAGGGAAATATTAAGAAACCGTTTTATAATTTTTTTTTTTTTTTTATTATTTTTATTTTTTATTTGTCTTTTATTTTCATACATTCATTTTCTTTTATTTCTTTCATTCACTCACGGTGTGAGTTATTCCCATTGTTGTAGTTAATGACATAAATGCAAATTTGTCGGGAGTCTCAAGTTTACAAGATTCTTTTGTGAAAAATGATAGATTAAGGATGAATTTACAAAGGGCTTGGGAGAGAACAAGGCAGTAAGTTTCCACTGTGACTTGGCATCTATTGTTCAGGGCAGTTCACAAGTGATCGTCAACAACACCCTCAATATGGACTTAATTAAAATCTTGGAGCCATCTGAAGAGCCCCACCCTCCCCACCCTCCTTCCCTTTTTGTGGTCAAGGCTTTTGTAAACATTTTAAAAGATCTCATGTAACACTTGAGGTATGTTTCTAATAAGCCCTAGTCTCAATCCTTCCCCATTTCAAATGAAACCAGTGGGAAAATAAATGTTGTAAAATGAATTCTATATGAGGGATTGTATCACAGTTTTGTTATCTAGTCTGGCTAACAGTGCAAAGAACACTTGAACTTGAAAACTTGTTTAAGTAACTATTTCAGATGTAATAATTTTTTAATCAAATTAAGCACAATATCAAAGGCAAAATTTATTTGACCTGGGTGACTGTTGAGAAGAAAAATGTAGATTAGAATGAAACAGCCCTCAATTAGTCTTTAATTGGCCAGCTCTGATTATCCCTGTCTGTAAGCCCTGGAAAACAAAGAGCCCTCATGTACCTTGTTGTTACAAAAGCCTTGAAAATTTCCTTAGTTTTTTCAACCATTCACACTCTAACATCAGCATGCACTGTCCATATAACTCTCTATACATTTCCTAAGGTGCTGCTAAGGAGAATTTGTTTGACAATCAAGAGCTTCTTTAGGGGGTGATCATTTCCTTTATTCTTACTAGTGACCTTATTTTGTGATTCAGGAGAAATTAGGTCCTGGTCACTATTAGGGCCAAACGGTTATTATTAGTCCTTTTCATGAATCAAACAGTGCAAAAGTGCCTCTTATTGCAATAAACTTATTGCAGCTTAATTAATAATGGCAAAAGGGACTGAGTGGTGTTCAACTCAGTCTGTGATCATACAAGTGATTAACAAAATCAGAAAACTGCAAAACAAGATTCAAATTTGTTAATCCTGAGTACAATTACAGACAGAATTTGGACAACATGAAGTCTTGTGAATCAAAACTAAGACAATATTTGAGAAAGAAACTAGACATTCATTAGAAGTTTTCATTAAAAAAAAAACAAACAAAAAAAACCAGTTAACTCGGTGAAATGCACACAAAAGCAGCATACTTTCGTGACACTTACTGTCTGCTTACACAAGCATGATGTGTCAACTGTCCTATTATACTGTCCAATTACGAGCATGACATGCACACTGTTCTATTAGTGTTCAAATCAGGCTGGTGATAACAAATCACATTGGAGAATTTTGTTAAAGTTTTGATTAAATCTGTTCTGGTATTGCTGTACAGGTGAACCTGATCTTTTGGAGAAGTTACGACAGGTGGCTAAGCACAATCAAATCTGGAGGTCATACATTGGAATGGGATATCACAACTGTCATGTACCTACCACAATCTTGAGAAATATTTTGGAAAATCCTGGCTGGTATGTTTTATCTTGGAATTCATTGAAAGTAGATATTCTTGATGGCATTAAAGTATTATGCACAAGTGCAAGTTTCAATTAAATATCAAAAGTGATCTTTCATAGCTTTAGTTTTGCTTTACTTTGCTCCATGGTCTAGAAAACTTGCATCTACATGTCAACCAATCAAATGCAAAACTAATTAAAAAGCAATGATTATCCTTACTTCAACACAGGCTTGAACATAGGAAGGTTATATGCATAACAAAATACTATTGACAATTAGCAATTAAAGTCCTCCATCAAAAGTGATGTAAATTGTAAACCACTACACAAATTTTCATAAAAATCCATTTAGCAAACAGCACACCAATAATCAGCATTTTTTCTTTTTGTATTTAAATAAGAATTGGGAAGGAGAAATGGAGAACTCCTGATTTTGTACAGGCAGCCCATAAAATTCCATGACTCAGGTTTTTGTAAGTCATTGTTTTGTAAATCTTGACCCCCGCAGGACCACACCCTATACCCCATACCAACCTGAACTGGCTCAAGGAAGACTGGAGTCCCTGTTGAACTTTCAAACAATGGTCAGTGACCTCACAGGGCTGGATATTGCTAATGCATCACTTTTGGATGAAGCAACAGCAGCTGCTGAGGCAATGGCATTGTGTTACAGGTAGAACTTTACTGGCTATTGTTTTTTCCTCAATAATTTTTGTTGTTAGACAAATTTTAATTTTGTTCTCATCCACATGTACTTGTGTAGTATAAGGAAGTTTGGGTCTTAAATTCATTAAACTAGTTAAATAATGAGTTAATTTAGTATTATCAACTGAGTTGATAAAGTAAATTGGCCATCTTAAAGAGTTTTAAAGCTGATGTTTTGAGCGTTAGCTCTATGTAGGAGTAAATGAGGGAATTGTGGGTTGTCTGTGTGTTTTATATGCAGAAAATGAAGGTGAATAATGATATGGGTTCAGGTCTTGACTTTGCTCTTTGTCAATACTTAAATTTTTAGGATGAAAAATCCAATTCTTGCAGACCTACATGTGTTCCTTTTCAGCAAAGTCAAAAATAACAATTTGCAAGGTTATCTTTCAACTTATCAGACAAGTTCAAGCAACTATTATTTTACTCAATCACTGAAGTTTAAAATTACACGACTTTTAATTTCACCCTTAGTTGCATGTACATGAATTTGTAGTACTTGAGAAAATTGGGGTCCTACACTCATCAAGCAAGGTTAACATGATGATGTGGGTACAGGCCTTGATTAGGAATTTCGCAGCATATTCTAGTGTAAAACCACCAACTTTTGCAGACTCAATTCAAACCTTGATCCTTAAGTTTTTCAAGAATGGAGGATTGATGATCAAGTTTTATGGACTTTTTCCTGTTACTGTACAGTGACTTGAGACAATTTCCTTTCTCTAAAGGACAAGAATCTCATGCAATGGTAGAAGCAATACCCACCTTCATTGATGGGTTGCTATGGAAACTAAGACAATTTCTAGCCATTTGCACCACCTGGTTCCCATGTAATCTCAATTAATATTGTACATATTATTTAATGAAAGCTAGTCTTTCTCATACTTTAATGTGAAAATCTGTTGTCTTTTGTGTGCTTTAGGCATACCAAGAAGCCTAAGTTTTTTGTGGATAAGAATTGTCATCCTCAAACCATTTCTGTTGTGCAGACAAGAGCAAGGTAAGTCCAAGTAATTTATTGATATATGTATTTATTAATTAGCTATTGTAATATTACTTTTAAATTGTGTTTATGCCTTACGAATTTAAAACTTCCTATTTAGGTTAGTTTGTTAGTTTTTGGTTAATTTGACTGAAAAGTTTAACTGACAGGTTCAAATGGCAACACAACAATGACCTAGCATTACAGATGGACCAAAGCTGACTTATCACGACTGACTCACCCCTTGTGAGTCCAATTGACAATAACATTATGCCTAAACTGTCCAATTAGTTCACATGAAACAGACTTAATACATTTGACTGAAAATAGCACTTCACCTGACTCTGATGATGACTTCCTCCTAGGTTGTCAAAATGTTAGTTACTACTACCAACAATGATCCTTTTCAGGACTTCTTTCACTTGAACAATCAGACTACAAGATCACATGACAATTATTGATTGTCAGTGCAAATGCAAATCAGCATCAACCATAAAAATTAAACAACATCCACTGAGTTCAAAACTTGTTGAACTGTAAACTTTATGACAATACTGGACACATTTTTGTGGAGTAACTTTTTCTTTTCCCTCTAGCACCCTAGGTCCTGATGGGGAAGGTTTACAAATAATCATTGGTGATAAAGAATCATTTGACTTTTCCAATAAGGATGTCAGTGGAGTGCTTTTTCAATATCCAGACACCAGTGGCAAAATTGATGATTTCTCTGAATTGGTGAAAAAAGCTCATGATGTTAAGGTGTGTCAAAAGTCATGTAGATTTCGAAAATGTGTTTAACTTGGGCCACAGGCCAGCCAGCCAGTGGGAGAGATGATTGATGACCTGTTGTTCAGAACCCTAGATTTAAAAAATCAGGTTCAAACCCTGGCCATGATCATTGCTAGGATGTTGCTTGGTGAACAGATACCCAATTTACCTTCTACTATTCTTTGAAAACCCTGAAAACCCTACATTACACTTTTCTTCAACCATGAGCACCAACAATCTTTAACAGTTTGACCCTTGCAAGTGACTAGCATGTAATTTCACCCCTCTGTATCACCCCTGAATCATTAATTATGGTCACAAGAATAAAGGAAATGAGTACCAACTAAAGAAGCTCTTGATTGTTGAACAAATTCTCCTTGTCAGCACCTTAAGTAATTTTAAGAGAACAGTATTGAGAATATGGGTAAAAAGGGCAAATAAAATTGACATGTACTGCCGACTTGAGTGTACTAGACTAGCATTCCATCTAGGGATAGCAGCAAAAGCTCAAGTTGGTTTGTGCTACAGATACATGTCCTGCAGTAGTAAAATAAGCTATGATAGCTATGCATGTCAGTCTTGAATGCAGACTTAAACTTTAAAATTGACCCCTTTCAGGCATTAGCAGTGTGTGCTACAGATCTTCTTGCCCTTACAATACTGAGGCCTCCTGGGGAATTTGGTTGTGATATTGCCATAGGATCCGCACAGAGATTTGGTGTTCCCCTTGGTAAGTTAGTGATATCTTGTTATTAAAGCTGTAAGTTTCTTTTACAAAGAATACATGATCATCATAATGACTATTTCGTTGGTTTTTGTTTGTTTGTTTGTTTTTTTCATTTTCAAGTTGTTTCCTTGCATGTTTATTTTGATTAATCTTTCTTTGGAGATAAAGTCACTGTAAACAAATGATTTAGCAGTAATAACAAGAAAAGAAAAGAAATGTAACTCTTATTGCTTTAGGCTATTTTTCCTTCTAGTCCAACAGATCAACACACAAATGGCAGCCTTCTAAATTTAGACTTTTCTTTTTTAACTTTGTTTACTCAGGTTATGGAGGACCTCATGCAGGCTTCTTTGCTGTGCGCAACAAAGGAAACTTAAACAGAATGATGCCTGGAAGAGTGGTTGGTGTTACAAGGTAAAAAAATAATAATTTTGTCAAGGGTTCTTGCCCTTCATTTATCACAGACATAGTGCTTGATAGTACAGTGTTAGTAAATGACTTGAGATATATACTGGATGACTTTGTGACTGATTGAATCAGCATTCATTGCAGTTGAAGCACAGATATCACATTCAGATTTTATGTTTCACAGAGATTCCCAGGGGAAAACTTGTTATCGATTGGCACTTCAAACACGTGAACAACACATCAGAAGAGAGAAGGCCACCAGCAACATTTGCACAGCTCAGGTACAGTGGATTTGTACTAATAATTTACATTGCAGTTCTCACTTTGTTGCATCAACTCATTCAAGTGTGAATGAGTAACAGTACTCTTAAATATCAGTAATACATTAATTGGTATTAGACATTTATTCAAAAGTCCTGTCACAACCTGTCTCATGACCTGACTGTTTTCAAGGTTCTGAACAATTAATGAAACTATACTTGACATCCATAAAGAGAGAGCCTTTAAGTCCCACAAGTGACCAAGACAGAATTTCTCCTCACAATATCAATACAATATCAAGCAGATAAGTTATGAGAATAAAGAAAGATATCAATTAGGGGATTATAAGTTGATCCAATACCAAATTCTCCAAACTAACATTACAAGAAAAGTATGGCAGACAGTTAGGAGAATTACTAATGAAATCTTGGGAGTTAAAGGGTTGAAAAAAAAGCATAATATATATATTTTTAACCTTCATTTCTTTTTATTTTTATGATCTTTCAACAAAATGTTACCATTAAAAATGTCTGTAAAGAAGACTCATTTTTATTCCTGACAGTTATTTTAAAAAAAATCTCCTTTCTTTGCAGGCCCTTCTTGCCAATATGTCAGCAATGTATGCAGTCTACCATGGGCCAAAGGGATTGAAAAACATCGCTCAACGTGTACATAATGCAACTCTCTTGTTAGCAGAAGGTACTGATTGCATTATTGTCATTAATTGTAAAGTTATAAAGTCATGTAGTTTTTTGTTTTTTTTTTTTTTGTTTTTTTTTTTGTTTTTTTTTTTAATTGATAAAATTTACCCTTAATGAAATTTTCTCTCGCAATCAGTTTTAGTTGAGTATGTCTGATTCTGAAATTTCAGGGTTGAAACGTGCTGGACACCATGTAGAGAATGATCTATTCTTTGACACTTTAAAGGTAAGCCCTTAACCCTTTGACTCCAAGAAGTGATCAACATGAAACTTCTCCCCTTAATATCCTTGCATCATCTAGCAAATAGGTACTGAGAATATTCAAACTTATCAGGTAGAAGCTGTTATCTTAATCTAACACCAATTTCTCATTACTAATTTACAAGGAAATGTGTAGCAGCTGGAGAGAAGAATTCACAATCAGATCTCGGGAGTTAAATGGTTAACCTTTGCTGCCTGGTAGCTTTTTGTCTTAGATATTCTTACTTAGTTACGAGGTGAAACCATTTTGCTGTAACTATTTTTTTTGTTAGGTCACATCTGGCATTGGAGATGTTTCTGACATTATTGAGAGAGCTAACCAGCGGCAAATTAACCTGAGAATGTTTGATGATAAAACTGTAAGTAGCAAGGGTTTGGATCAAACTTCCTTTATGAAATATTGTAAAGCTGCAAACATGAAAGGGTGTTTATTGGAGGGTGGATAGCAAAATCATTATTATAGTTACACAAGAGTGCAGATGAAATTGTGAAATGCTCTTTGCAAGGTAATAGCTTTTTTTTTTTTTTAACTCAGTAGCAGCTTGGGCCCTTAATTGCAGCACATTTAAACAGGATAAAATGTTTCCTTTGAATAGTACAATTGTACATGCATTTAAATGCACTTACAGCAAGGATTCCTTTGGTGGATTATAATTACAATTCTACTTAGTACATGAAGACAGGCACAAAGAAAACTACACCATTTTCACAAGAACATGACAATGTGCATGTACATTCTTGCTAAAACTTTATATAATTATTTAATTCGGTTCAAAGTAACTGTGAGCTGTTCTAACCATGCCACAACTGCTTTTTACATTGCTGCAATGTAATTCAAATTCTTTAGTGATGGAGTTCCTGCAAATCAACTGTAATCTTTTTTTCCTTTTTTAGGTTGGTGTATCATTGGATGAGACAATCAAAGAAAAGGATTTAGCTGATCTTTTGTGGGTGTTTGGTTGTGACAGTTCAGTTGTAAGTATCCTATATCTTTTCAAACTTCCTTTCTCACAGCACAGTTGTTATGGGAACTCCGACGTGTTGTCGACAGCTCACAGATGGGCATGCAGAAATCTTATGTTACCAACTTAAGTATGATGCACTTGCTTAATAGGAT